TTAGAACTGTTGTCTGCTCGCACAGTCGCAAGCCCTTATATAGTAAAATTTTTAACAAAAGTTAATCCTGGCAACTCGAATTCGCTCGTCTATTGCTTTCTGCGTTTAACGTCAATTTCCTGATTTGGTTCTGGTACTCGTGTTCGCCACAAGCTATAAAGAAAATAGAGTCATCATTAGGTTTATTTAAAACTTGTAAGTGTTTTTGAAAATATCTATATTAAAATAATTGTTAAATTTAGTTTTAAAGTTAATTTAAATTTTTTTGATTAAAATATACTGTACTATATTTAGACGTCATATAAGATCTAGCTTGTTATACACTAATTTTACATTATGTATATTATTTCTGTTTAAAATGGAAACCGGAAAATACCTGAGAAATACATTAAAAAATCTCAAAACAATTTCTTTTCCTCATGGCGCCACTGTCAAATGTTATATAAAAAGCGGAACCTTTGACAGCGCCACCTCTCGATAAAGTGTTCGGATCAATTTGTAATCCATGGCACTCCACCGAAAATCCTTCAATTCTTAAATGATCAACTTTCAAATATATATTGTAACGGATTTCTCCGATAATCGTCCTCCCCGTCAATCCCGGTACCCTTGTGTAGCAGATCTTTAACAAAACTTGCCACTAGAACATTCTGGCAACTACGGCTAGTTGATTCTGGCAATTTATCGTCATTTCATTTACATATTGATTTTTGTATCATCAGTGTTCGTCAAATATTTAATATGAACGTGAGACAGGTTGCTAAAGATGATCTACTATAAAATAACCATTTATTGCTTCACAGGCAGCTATAATAGCTTTCAAACAATTAAAACAATTTTTTGTGGTGGACTAATCCTAAGATTTTCACTAATACACACGCAAAATACCCCATTGGGTACGGGTTGCCTCGAAAATTCTACTACTAAAATCACACTTGGTACGGGTTGCCAACCAATTTCCTCCTACTAAAGTCACATTTGTACGGTTGCAAACCAATATTCTACTACTAAACTCAAATGACAGAAATCTGTTTAGTGTGTTTGCCGGTGTTATGTTTTAAAACTTATAACTTTAAAAAGTTCTTTATCCTATCAAACATTTGGTGTTTTATTCCTAAAGATTAAATTTACATAGCATATAAATTATCATTTTTTATTGAAATATTATTAATAGTTCCAATTTATCAAATATATATTGTGTACGGTGATTAGATATTTGTGAATATATTTTAGTACTTAGTAGATTGTTTTATTATTTATTGTTCTGATTGTACCTCATTTTTATTATATATTCTTTTTGAAATAATTAATATTCATGAACCTGATTCATGTACCTATTTATGTATATATCTTTTCGAGTTACAATTGTTATGAAAAGTAGATTGTTTAGAACTGTATATATTATATGGGTAATATAGAGTTCCTGGGAACCGAACACCAAAAATGATCGGTAAGCACCTATATTGCAAGCTCAGAGGTTGTGAGGAAAAGCAATAAATATATAATAATCTTTTGTTTCGAAAATATTCTTGAAAGTTTTCATTAATATTCTCCATTACAAATACATGTTCACAAACAAGCCTTTCATTTACATCTCTGTGTCAAAAAAAAGGCAGATTCGATCAGGTGATCACGGCTGTTTCACACACATAGGAAAACAGGTGATTCTTTGGCCACTTGTAGGCTTATACAATGATCTAGAATAAGACGTGCAATCTACGAGCCGCGACTGAAATTTCAATATATATCATTGTATAAGATTTCAAGAAACCAAAGAACCAGCCAGAACAATAATATATTTGATAAAATTGGAAACATTTAATAATATTTCAATACAATAAATAATAATTTAAATAATCTATGTAAATTGAATCTTTAGGAACTATTACAACCGAAAATTATTTGAATATGTAATAAAAACATTTATAAAGTTATAAACTTTAAAACTTAACACGGCAACACACTATAGCAGACTTGTGTCATTTGGACTTTTTAGTAGTAGAATATTGGTTGGCAGCCCGTACCAAGTGTGACTTTAGTAGTAGAATATAAGTAGTAGTAGTATTTTCGAGGCAGCCCGTACCAAGTGAGACATTTTTGCGTGTGCATTAGTGAAAATCTTAGGATTGGTTGCTAGAAAATTTTAACAATGATAAATATTGATAGTGGTATATGGAACGCAATCCAACAACGTTTAATAAATATCACAATGCTGGATCGCTTTCAATTTATATTGAACGTGTAGAACACCCCTATATGTGTTTTTTCATACCTATATGTTACTTGCTTTTGTTTAGATTTGTGAAATATATAATTAAATTAACATTTTTACAATGACGTTGTTTCGATTTACTTCTAAATTTTTACGTTTGCCTACAATTAGAGTGCAGTAAGTATTTTTATAATATAAAGTGTCGTTGGTAGGAAAAACATTTATTAATTGTTTGTAACAGAAAAGGTATGCCGTTATTGCCGCAAAGTATCCACAAAGCTTATGAAAACTTAAAAAAACAAACAAAAATAGCAATGTTTAAAAGATACTAGGAGTTCTCTATAGCTAAATTTGTGACAAGACAAAGTTCTATCACACATATATACTAAATATAAAGAGATTTTGCGGTTTTTTCTACTCTTTCAATCAGCATGATATGAACACGTAGTTTAAAGTCCAAATCAGTGATTAAATTATATAATACACGGAGTAAAATTGAGGGGGAAACTTTAGTATACCGTCCCCGGCTTTCGGGGATAAACTTGGTGTGGGCGGATAGAGGAGGCCCTTCAGATCAAGAATATATACAGCTAAAGACTCGGGAAACTTATAGTTTTCGGGATATTTACGTTTAAATTTGAAAATTTCAACTATTTAAAGTACGCATCTATTCGATTTCAAATATATTTTTCACTTTTGTATCCAATCATTTCACTAATTCGGGGAAAACTTTAGATTAGCATCCCACGATTTCAGAGTTAAGAGGGCTATGGTTGTATAGACGAGATTCTCCAGATCACGAATATATAGTTTTCGAGATATTTGCATTTTAAGTTGAAAATTAAACAGATTTTATTTTAAAATTTCTTGATTTATGGTTAACTTTTATGCACTTATTATACACTAACACTTCAATACAATGTTTCTACCTATTTATTTTATATAATTTATTTAAATATTTGCTTTAAATAAGCATTTTATTTTTACACAATTTTCGTTATTTGCACAATAACCAATGGGTTGCATGTTGACTGATAATAAGTATTGCCATATCCAAACGAATGAAAGCAATCAAGATAAAAAAAAACCCAATTATATGCACAATATTTACCAATTCAATTTGAATATGAATTAAGAGAAGAAAAATAAAATAAAACAAAAAGATGATACCACAAATACAGGAACCATAATCGTTGATGGACAAAATGGATTGTTAAATAAAAGTCCCAATTTAATGGCTACACACTTATCTTTATTTCTTATTCCAACAACTTAACACTTATTGCTCGTTATTCGAGCTTACAACTTCTTGCTTATAGCTTAATTGCTCTTATCACGACAACACTCTAACTAGAACTGTGTTTGCTGCACAATCCGGCAGCCCTTATATAGTAAATCTGTAACAAAACATTGCTTCTAGAACATTCTGCAACTACGAATTCGCTAACTAGTTGCTTCTGGCAGTTTATCGTTCATTCGATTTTGTTCTATCATCTATGTTCGTCACACTGCCCTCCACCTAAGTCTGATCGTCCCGATTAGACAAATTTGTGATACCAAACACAAAGCTTTTATGTCCCCCATATCCTCTTCTAGGCTGGTGCTGACATCGTTAGCCGCCCTTCTCTTCTTGGAGTTTATTCCATCCGTTTTCCGGATACTCAGTTTCTGGTAGATCCCTTGACTTAAAGCTGACTCGAGATTCCATTCTTGATCAGAACGTAACTCTATTGGAACACCGAATCTCGTTACCCACTTGTTGATGAATGCCTCCGCCACTGGTTCAGTCTCTTGGTTAGGAATTGTGTATACTTGTGGCCATTCATTGAAATGGTCCTTGACTACCAAAACATGACTATTTCCTAATTTATTGGTGGGGAATGGACCATCTTCATACACGCCTATTTTCTCAACTGGCGCACGCGAATTGTGCTGTTTCATCTGCCCATGACTCCTGGACCTTGATCCTTTAGCTACAATGTTCTCAGCATATTTCGCAATCCTTTCTATAGCTGATTGACAACCAGTCCAATAAAACCTTTGCTTCAAATGCTCCAAGGATTTCATGTCTCCCAAGTGCCCTCCTCCTGGACATTTGTACTGCTCGTTAAGAACATCAGGAATTCCAACCCTTGGAACAACCATAAGTACTCGGAAGGTTTGCCCGTTTTCGCTTTTCCATACTCGATGCAAGCAGCCATACACTAACTTTAAACTACTCCGTTCTGTCCAATATGATTTTGTGACTGGCCTTCCTGTAGTTATTTCTCCAATCGTTGTACATTGGTTCAACTCCACCTTATGTAATGCACCTTCCAATTCTAGATCTTCTTGCACAGAGTCATCCGTTTTAGGTTCAATTTTATGCTGATCTTCCACCTGTGATGGTATACACGCTTCCTGCTCTTCCAACTGTAAGGACACTTCTGCTGGTATCCACGCTTCCTCCTCTTCCGACTGTGAGGACACCTGCGCTGGCATACGCCCGTTCAGTTCTTCCGACTGCGAAGACACTTTTGCTGGTATACAAGCTTCTTGCTCTTCATACTGTGAAGATCCTGATTCACATGCTTCCTCCTCTTCCAACTGTGAGGATACCTGCGCTGACATATTCACGTCGAGCTCTTTCGGTGCTGAGAACTGTGCTGAAAAACATGCATGTTGCGCTGCGAACAGCTCTTCCAAATGCGTTGACAATCGCGTTTCTTGCTCTTTAAATTGTGTCGACATTTGCGTTGATATTTGAGACATACGTGTATCCTGCTCTTTAATTTGTGTCGATATTTTCGATATTGCAGCAAAAACCATGTTTATGTCCACAATTTTTGACGAGCATTGAGCCTCTTCCTTTTCTTCTATCTTTGTTGTCTCTTCTTCTAATTCCATGTGAAAGACATATTCCTCAACATTAATGTTTTCCGCCTCCATGGCCTCTCTCAACCGTGATTGTAATTCAGTTTTTAATCCATTTGTCGCCAAACCACGTTGCTCCAGCTCCTTTTTCAGTTGTGGAATCTTCAGATCGTTAAACTTGGCCATTTTCAAATAATTATCTCCTTGGGAATTTATTTGACAATCCCACTTCTG